AGAGAGACAGAGACAGAGAGACAGAGATAGAGAGAGAGAGAGAGAGAGAGGGAGAGTGAGAGAGAGAGAGAGAGGGGGGAGAGAGAGAGAGAGAGAGAGAGAGAGAGAGAAGAACTCGGAGGGGATGAATATTTATATAGATGTGTATGTGCTTTTGTCTATCTAAAAAAAAAAGAGAGAGAGATTAAGGGAACGATATTGAATGAGAGATAAAGAGAAAGAGAGCGAGCACAATATTTTATACAAAAGAATTAGCAAGAAGTGCCAATCAGTTAATTATTCGAAATTAAACGTTTCAGTGATTGTGCAAAGGTCACGAGGTAAATAAAAGAGCACAAACCTCATCGGAAGATCCATGGGAATCACGAGGAACTTCACGGTCAAGATCGACGACAAAGGTACGTCTATTGTTTAAAGTATACAATGTGTTTCAAGAGAAACTTATGAAAATCAGTTATACCGTAGAAATGAAATATACGACCCAACTTCAGTCGGTGCTTTCGCTCTGAATAACTTCTCATGTACATACACATAAAACTGTCTACTCGCAGTCACTATCCAATAAGACTAATTCTAAGATATACATATATACACATATATGCAAAAAAAGAAATTTATTTCTCAAAATGAATCTGACACGACCGGACCGTCTCCCATAATCTCCAGAATTCCTCTGCCTTTTTAAAAATATATTTCGCGACTGTCGAAAACGCTTTCGAAATAGCTTCCAGGCCGAAAAACCCTGAGACCCCTAAAACCCCGTGAGAAAATCCAATTAGGGAGAGGAAAAAAGGAGGCTAGGAATGAGACTGGCAAGTAGAGTGTCGTCAATCAGTATGCTATACAACGCGCACCTTACAGCATCCTGATAGAGATAAATATCAAAGAGAAAAGGGAGTGGTATTGGGTTATATGTATAAGACACACATATATTTATATATGTATATGCGTATATATGTAGATACTTTACGCCATGAAGATCAATCGGATCGTATGACCTCCTGAACTTTCATCTACTTTAGGTCATTCCAGAATCATCCCAGGACATGCTAGACTATGCTATACTGCATAAATGACGTTATCCCTGAATCCTTTGTCGAGGCAGCTGCGCCTATTTCATACAGCATCGCTTTTAGCCTTGAACACATGATATGCGTATGCAGCAAGAGCTTATACGTGCATATACAATATACATATATTAGAGTTTCGAGTGAGCATGGTGTCCCATATAGGTGACTCTCACGTATATATACACATTGAACATTGGAGCTTATAAACCAGAGAAGGGGAAGGTAGAGGGATGCTGTTCGTAGAAATCATTGAAAGCAGAAGATGATACGATCTTGACATTTCCCAGGATGAAAATTGAGTGTCGAGAGAGTCCTTGTAATCGGGACTCTTGTAGATACTCGATTCTGTTTTTTCCTCTTTTATATTTTTTCTTTCTTTCAGCCTGAACGAGATCACTCTTGGGTTTCGGATGGTATCAATGGAAACGTCAAACCCAACACTTTAGGATTCCAGTCCATTGTTTTCTCACTTGTTTCTATATATTTTTCTTCTCTTCTCTAATCGAAAATTCTTCACGTTAAATAACCAAGGAAGATGCTGCCAAAGGATGATCTTGCTCACGGTCCAGTGGTGATCGTTAGAGAGCATGTAAATTTTGCACAACTGAAGTAAAGGAAATGGATTCAAGATAAAAGTGACAATGACTAGTTCAGATAGTAGTTAGTACTAACAATATTACCACGAATGGAGGTTAATGACGTTATCAGAATGCTGCCAAACTATTCTGAATTTTCTTCTCTCAGTGCTCTTCAAGTAGAATGCAGTGAATTTAGAAGTTATCGCGATTCGTGTATACCCGGGCGAAGACGTCGTTAATATACACACACAGTAGTGACGTATCCATCCAGTCAGCCTCTGTCTGCCAAGAATTCATATTCATATAGAACATACAATACTGTTGATCAATAAAATACGTGGGAGAGCTTACATTAAATTATATTTCTCCACATTTGGCCCAGGTTCATTTGCACGCTTCAACTATTGGTCGTTCTGCTTAACGTATGGATAAGAAGTTACGTCGATTTCTATGTGTCCTAGGCAAACAATAAATATAGCCATAAAGCGGAGTATAGAGCTTTGAATAATTTATAGAGACATATGGTATACGTACCATTACCCTAATTTACCATATATGTAGAGCTTGAGGTGCGTGTATGGGTTCTTGTAAAATTTTCATATCTACATTTTGAAGCTGCCTGTACAATTATCGGGACGACTCTATCGCAGTGACATATTTGGGTGGTAGCCACTGGATACAGATTCTGCTGTTCACATTTTTTCTCAGGCTGTATGATCTTAAAGAGAACCGGAAGTGAACGAAGGATACGTCATCACGTGACTGGGCGTGCCTCTCCTCGTGCTAGTCGTGTAACGTCGAAGATACTCAAGTTCGAAGTTTAGTCTACTTCCTAGCTCTTAGGCATGAAAGCCAATTTCTCTAGTCTATACGTACATACATATACTTGAGGAGATAAAGTCGAGAACTTTCAGAGAGTGAACTTAATTGTTGCACCTTTTGCCTCTGACCCCTTGCCTTGCCTGCGACCCCTAGAGAAATTGTCAACTGAAGAATTTTCTTCACTTTTGCATCCTTGCAATAGACGTAACGAAACGGTCACATGTATTGCCAAAAAAAAAGAAATTAAAAAAATCACTACAGATAACAAGCACGGCAATGACAAACTTTGATGTTGATGATTAAAAAATGATTTTCAGTCGTAAAACTTTTGGGGCGTCGAGTTTGAAACGAAAAAATTTCATTCGCTAAATTTTTGGGGCGTCGAGTTTAAAATGAAAAAATTTCACTACAGATAACAAACACGGCAATGACATAACTTTGATGTTGATGATTAAAAAATGATTGTAATAATAATGAAATACCTGTCAATACTTAAATTGCCTCGTGTAATCGATACACTCTCCAGTATGGACTTACGGTGACACAATGAAAATCTATTCCGTGTGCGATAGGTGATTGATATGGAGGCAATTAACTTTAATTAGGCGATATTCAGGATATCGTGAAAAGTCCCTGGTCTGTCGTATTTACATTGACGAGGAATTTATTGAGTTTATCGCTTCTGTCGTGTTTGTTGTCGAAGAGAAAAGCGAATGAGGGAAGAGTAATTCATGCGAGGGTTGATACCGTTGATGGACAGAGTGCGAGAGAGACAGGAAGAGAGTGGGAGATAAAACATGGAGGATCCTGTAATCGGGTTTGCCAAGGAGAGTGCCATGGTAGGACGATAGTACGATGGTGCAATGACTTGCTGCCATAGGCATTCCATCAGCGTTTATGGTGTTCCGAAAGCTTTCTCCTCATTTTCCGCTCGTCCTGTGAAACATCTATACCACCATGTTCTTGCTGTATCCAGCTTGGCTCGACATTACCCTTACCACACCCTCAGGCCCTTCTCGTTTAATTAGCCTGAAAGCTCTATTCTCACTCTCTCACTTACATTCTATTCTCTACTCTCTCCTCTCTCTCTCCTCTCTCTCTCTCTCTCTCTCTCTCTCTCTTGCAGACAGTTTACATTCTTAACTTGCCTGCATCCGCGACCAGCCAGTTTAGAGCTTCTGTTTTTTCTGTTAACGTCCGTATTTACCGACTACGAGAACCCTCGAAATTCTCGCACACTCGTTGGATTACTGCGTAACAGGAAAATCTGTGAAATTAACAAAATAAAGTACGATCAATGACGATTAATATGTAAACGTTCTAGCGTCGTTCTCGGATATTGTTGGTTAGGACGTAAAATGTCGAGAAGTATAAAAAAATCGAATAACCATAAACAGCATAGAAACAATCAATCTAGCGAAACAATAACCTGGGTAGCTTGATTTATTTAGAAGATTACTTAATGCCAAGCAATAAGATAAAAAGATTTCTTTGCCGCGAAACGTGCTAAAGCTAGAAAAGAATATGTATAGGTTAACTGCGCTTTATTTATGCACTACGTGAGAATATCTAGCTACGCGTTACGTCGTGGCAAAGTATAATTTATCGTAAAAGAAGAAGATACATTAATCTGAGCAAAGTGATTCTAAGGACGGATGAAATCCTGGTTGGTTAATTTAACGAGTCGACACAGGTTACAGTCGGAGAAACGTACAGTAGGGATGTCAATCTAATTGGAACCATCAAGCTTAGAATCTTCCATATGACAGACGATATATACAGTAGCGTTAGATAGTACTCACTGACAGTGTCCTTAAGGATTTGATTGAGTTATTTATACGCATCTCACGTACCTTATAACATAAACGTACAAATGTAAGAGAAGCCTCTACTACCTACGCCATATTTGAATATACCCGCAGGCCTAGAGTCAACAGCAGTCCACAGCACGTTAGCTATTGGCAGCTGAGTGGGAGACAAAGGGCTTCGGTTCTGCTCGGGTATTGGACTATTGGATTCTGCTCGCCTCTCTCTTCCTTCATCCTTCGTGTATAGGATCTTCAGTGCTTCCCTTGTGTTCGCCTCACTCTCTTGGTGAGGCTCCTTCAAGAGCTATCCGGCCGCGAAACTTATTAAACCACCACTCTGCTGCCTGTCAGTTGGTACGTCAAGAATTTATAACCTCGAAAGCTATTGACATCGACCATAACGCGCTCGTCGTTGTTTCGACTTTGGTCGATCCTCATTTACCTTCGCTTTTAACATTTTACTGCCGATCAATGGATTTTTGACATTACACTAGCGTATGGCTCAGTGTACGATTTACTGGGTATTCGAGTTCTCAGCGGATGAAATATTTTGTCATGACTGTCGTCGTTTGATTACATGAATATAGTTTTAGGATTCGATTTAGTTCGGTGAAAGATATTTTCAGTGTGTCAGTGCTAAAAAAAATGGCGTTTTATGAAATACATAGAAGTGATTATTGATTCATTTTAATCGGAATATCGAACGCTCTGTCGCGGAGAAATTGTAAATATTCGTACACGCTAAGGAAATTGAACGTTTCCCTCGAAAGGAGATTGCGAAGAAATTCTTTTCTTGGGAGGAAGTATGAAATAAGAAAGTTGGCGCGAAGCTTGAAATAACTGGGAAGAGCGATAGTGAGAGAGGGTGAGAGGGAGGAGAGGAGAGGAGAGGAGAGGAGAGGAATACAGCAGAGTGTAGAGGCGAAGGTAGAAGCTGTTTGCTTCGACCCAGTTTTCCAGTCTCCCAGTTTCCCAGTCTCCCTGGACAGCTGTTCTCGGCAAAGGTAGCATACAAAGATGCAAGGAGTTTATCGTTGGCGGCCTAGACAATCCCTTCGAAGTCCAGAAAATAAACTGTTCAATGTGCCACAGGAAGAAACGACCAAGGGTCCGTGTCTTCTTGTTATCGATACGTCCTATATTTTTAGACTTCAGCAGCCACGTGTCCTTTTCCGGATATGCGGGCTGAGCGCATGCGCAGATAACAAAGAAATATCACTGATCCTTTAACAAAAATTATTCTACTGATATCCAATATGCAGAATATATAGTGTGTACATTTTTAATGACAAGATATTAAAGTCTCCAGGCTTATGAGAAACGTAACGTAATATGAAACTGTCTTTTTAAAGAGACGGCTGGACAGTTGAGTAATGTCGAAATGAGGACCTCCGTCCTTAAAAATTCTTTGGGTTTCATTTCGTTGGAACTTAATCCAATGTTAAAACGCAAAAGGATTTTTTTCGTATAATAAGAGAGCTGACAATCACATTTTTCAAGTATCATTGATTAAAATTTTCATCACATACGTAATCAACCAATCAGGTATTAATGGTTGACAAGATATGATCGAACGTTTAATAACAAAGATGGTTCCTGACAATAGCAAAGGACCTATAGGTAGCTATGTGAATAAATAAGGCTCAAAGGATTGGGTAGTGCCCAATTGTTAAACTGACCCCTAAATTATGCAAAAGTTCGTATAACCAGACAGGCGGCATAGCAAAGTGGTTCAACCCATGAATTTCATTGGCATATACGAGACGCCATGATGGTTAAGTGGCTCCCGTACCTGGTAAGCTCATTCGAATGGATTTACCTTAGTGGCAAGTTGCCAGCAGCCCTAAGGGTTATTGCCAACAGAACTTGGTAAATATACGGATTGAGTTGCTACTTGGCAATAACTGTAGTCGCAGTAGAATATCCAATGGTTCTGCCCCTGGTGACAGAGTGGAGATGCGTGGTTACATAGAAACTCGAAGCTCCAATCGAAATTTCATCTGGATCCTCGTGCTGCACGTAATCGACGAATGAAATCGACACTCCCGAGAAACAAAAGAACTGCTGGCCGTTTTCGTCGAAGGATCTGGTCGACTGTAATTTGCTTTTGCTTACCAATGATAACTCACAGCTACCAATCGGGCTGGTTCATTACTTGTTGAATGCCATCCATTGTCTAATGCCGCTTGCCCTTCTAAATGGATTTCGAAGCGAGCCAATAAGAGAATAAGCCCGTACAAAGGCGCCCGCTCGAGCGCGATTATATTCCACCCACGTCAACCTGACTGCTACGTCTATGGACTGAGAGGATGCTAACGCCATCTTATGAGAATACTCCTTCAGTATTGTTATCATGCATATAATCTCTTAAAAGGCGCCCGAGAAAACTCTTATGACTTATTCTTATTGTTAAGAATATTTTATTCTTGGCTATCAAGCTGGTTGTGCGGTACCTCGATCGATAACGTAGATTTCTTTATGGAGCCGGTAAACGCTGCTTTATTTTACCTCCTGAAAATCCTGTGCACTTTGTATTTATGAGAAATCGTGAATTTTCAGTAAAGCGTCGAGAAACTTTCTTTGTTATAAATGTGCAACTGAAACTGCTACGCTGGGGAATACTTTGGGAGTTTTCGTCTTGCAGTTTTCTTTCTTCGTCAAGCTTCTCATCTCCCAGTGGGCTTATGAACATGACTACGTCATTTTCTACATACATGAATTTTATTCACTTTGCAATGTACAAAGGTACTTACTGTATTACCATTGTTATTCGAATAGCCGAAAAGCGCACTCCCTTCTTTTTCTCAGGTTACAACCGATAGAAGTACACGCTACGTATTTTATATATGGCCTCCCTGGGATTCAAGTTAAACATCATTACCATACCGGAAGCGGCCGCATTGCGTACACGGACGTTACATATGTAGAAAGACGTAAAATTAAAATCCATTAGAAGTCAGGAACTCTAAGAACCTGCAACATAACCTCAATTAATTAAATTAAGAGTCACTGCACTTTTTCATTAAAGTTACAAGCAGCTTTCACGCGGTCTAGTACTATAGGTATATTTTGCATATTAATAATTTTTTTTATATGAAAGGAATTAATTGTTAAACCTCTTATTTTTTTTGAGTTACCCTCTACATTACTCACTCTATCAACTAATTTCGGAAATTACCTAAGAGGCATTGGCAGTGGGGATAAAAGGTCATATGGTACATTCCCACTCATGTATGCACTTCCGCTTTTACATTGTCCTTTAATCTGCCGCATCTAGAAAAACAGACAATAACAGAGAAATAAATCGGGGTGAATATTTCGTAACAGATGTCAATAGAGAACAGGGCTGGATATCTTAAATCACGCTACCATCCTGCCAACGGATGCTGAGGTAGTCTAGGTCAAAGATCATAACAATCGACAGTCGATAAATCAATATCATACGATAAGGTATACTTGGAGTTGGACTCGAGTGTCTCGGTAACGTATGGGCGGGTGACGCTGCAAGAAATTACATAAAAATGTTCACGTCATTAAGGCCTAGACGGGGGTTGCTAAATTCTTGGTGAATTGCATGGATGCACGTGAACAATGGCGGGGTTAAAGGGGTGGCTGTTAAATTCCTGGCGATCGTGAACGGTGCTAATGGAAAGAATAATGGGGGGTACGAATGAATAATTAGTGGGTGGAACGAAACAAAACAAAAATATTGTCACTCAGGGTATCAAGTTAGAAAAGAAAAAAGAAAAAGACGAGAGCGATAAGAGGAAATGAAAATTATGATAAATCAACAACAAAATGTATACATATAACCCCCATGAATGATAAGTATGGGGAGGGGGGGTTCTTATGATTATGGGTCTGAAAATTAATCAAGCTAAAGGCTCCCATTCTTTTCTAATTAATTTTATCTTCTGACGAACCTTCTCCTACAAGAACTTCCTTGTGACCTTGCGTTATTATCTTTTCAGAGTGAAAACAGCAGTACCTGATTATTCAGCTGAGTTACCTGTACCGTATATATGTATAAGTGAAAATTACTGGGGGCTCAATATACATGTATACATACCGTTTCATACCGGAATTATCATTGGTCAAATAGCAAACTAAATACATCGGATGTTACTCGCGGTCCATATTCGAGCAAATAGCGCAAATAGTGTAGATGGCAGAGAGGGTTTAGTCTGCAGCCTGTGACGTCACAGCCTCTCTCTCTCTCTCTCTCTCTCTCTCTCTCTCTCTCTCTCTCTCTCTCTCTCAACGCTGCGCGCATGCGCAGCAACGCATGATAATCCCAATGTTCCCTATATACGTGTTCGTTATTAGAATTTCAAATCAAATAGATTCCTAAACGGAACGCTGTATAAATACTTTCTGAATTTTACACTAATCTTAGCCAGTTTAAAAATATTCCATATAACGACCGAAGAAGGTATACGAAATTCAAACTAACCGTATAAATGTTGTCCCAGTCGATAAAGTAGAATATTGAAAATTCGAAAACCAAGGTGAGTGAACGGTATTTATTGTTTAAAGGCGCACCACAGGGCACTGACACAACTGACTGACTCTGTATGTACGTATATGTATACACTTATGCTGTGGCACGTGTACACGAAGAGGAGAGTAAGAGTGCAAGAGAGAAAGAGATAAAGTGAACCGTCGGCTGGGCTGCTTCTCGGGCGCAATGCGCCATCTGGCAGCTACCCAGAACCTCGTTGTCCTTCTCTGTCTGGATTTTATTTTTCCTCTAGCTCCCTCTCACTTCATCCTCACGCTGGCACTCCGCTGCTCCAGTACTCTCAGTGCCTATACCCTTTCATACCTCCCTCCTCGCCACGAGATACCCACGGCAGCTCTTCCTTACGGTATGTTTTGTTTGCATTTTAATCGACCTCAGAGTATATTCTTCGGCCAGGACATTTTTGGCCACCAACGGAGACTAGCGCTGTCTCTGTCTTTCTCTTTAGTTCTTCTACTACTATCATCCCCCCCTCTCTCTCTCTCTCTCTCTCTCTCTCTCTCTCTCTCTCTCTCTCTCTCTCTTGTTCATTCTCTTTTCCTCTTTTTCGTCCTCTTCGGCTACAACCTACGTATCTAGCTCATCCCCCATAGACTGAGCCCGGACACCCTCTGACTACCCTTCCTGTGTAACCCTCTAGCCGAGCAATCAACTTCGAGCCATTGAATTCCACGCAAAGGACGCTACGGTAGGACTGAGATCGTCGTATACCCGTCGCCGTTGTGAAAAAAATGCCAAAAGCATTTTCGCCTTGCTGATTACGGATTAAGGACTCTGTCTCTTTCTGTCCTTGGGTATTTTACATTGGCTCCTTCTTATTTCTCTCTTTTTCTCTCTATAGCTATCGAGCACTTCGTCGCTCATTGCGCTGGATGACTATGGAATATAATAAGGACGATACGACGCTCTGTGTTCTGGGCTAATCGATCGCGTGTAATGCGCCGTCTAGGAGGGTCGTCGCGACGCCGTGAATCCGATCGACGGAAAGAGAGAGAGGAGGCACGATAATAAACAAGTCAAGAGGGATGTCGTTAAAACAGCAACAAAAAGACATTTCGCTACTTTTTCCCATTTTCGAGTGTTCTCAATCTTCGTCCACCAACTTGATCATTCTCATCACGCTGATTCACTTTCTCGTATCTTATAGGTAACACAAGCACTTCTTTTTTCAAAAAATTTCTTCTTAAATCTTACAGCTTTTTTTTCTATAATTCCTGAACTGTATAATTTCCGGTCATTAATTATTTATATCAAACCATGTCTAAGGGCAACTTTGCAAATTAATATTTATGGCGAATTACGCGGTACGGACGAAACGACAGTATTTTGTTCGAAATCCATATTAAAAAAATGTTAAAATTAAATTATTTATATTCAATCGGACACCTTAATTAATCAACGACCACGTGTTTTGTGCCTTTGTCCCGGTATAAAAATCTTGGGTGAAAAAAATTATAGGGGTAAAACTTTCACGTAGGGATCCTTCTGGAGAAATTGGCGAGTAACGACGTCACTTACCTTGACACACTGGCACAGATGGGGATTGGGTTGGGGATGGGTGAGGTAACTCAGGGTTGACCCACTTTGACTACTACCTACTACTACCTACTATTAGATACTTACCAGTCAGTTATACTAGTTTCTGTATCTGTATCGCATACAGATAAAATTCTTATTATTTTAATGGGGGGCAGGGTCACCCCTTTGTAATATATATCCTAGAATTTTAGTAGACACGTGGAGGAATTTCTTTGAAATTACAAGGTCACGTGGTCCATTGAATATTTAAAACTCTTGGAAATTCTTCTTCTTGCTAGGAATCCTTCAGCGATCTTCCCTGATATCCGATGCCCTTACAGCTTCTCCATTGCCGATGCCGGGGGTTCATAGTGCGCGGGCAAAAGTAGGAGTGAAAAAAAGAAGATGGCCTACAAGATGAGAAGCGAAGTTGAAGCAGAGACCGGAAGCTTAAGAGAAAAGCAGTAAAAGTAGTAGAAACGATGGAGGAATATGAGAGTTCAGTTTGGTGATGCTGTGCCGGTGGTCCACATAGCCAGGAGAATAGCCAGAGAAGCCAGAGAATAGCCAGGCACGAGAAGATCTCTCGAGAAGCCCCAGGCTAAAATCTTACACGCCACTAATTGCTAGCATTGTGCCCGAGAGCGAAGCCCCAGCCTCCAATCCCGAATCTCCCGCTACGGATATATCGGCTTCGTGGACCATCTTCGTCTCCTACCTTCGTCTCCTTTTTCCTTTTTCCTTTTTCCTTTTTCCATAACCCCGCCACCGTCCTTTCACTCCTTTCCCCCTCTTACCCTCAAACCCCCTTCGTAATCCTCCACTTCCCATTTCTGCAGACCAAAATCTCGGTTACCTAACCTCAACTGTATCTTGAAACGTGCGATTATACTCCGTGGCAGCAGACACGCTTCTACAACGTACCCTGTGCCAAATTAAATACAGAGTCCTTAGCAATTAACCTTATTATTTCTTCCCTTATATCTATCTACTTGTACAATTATATTGTTATAATTTTTATTTTATTTTCTGTTATTTTTGCGTAAATTTTAAAATATTTCACATCCTGTTATGCTGGTAGTTAGGTTAGTCTATATAGACTGATAGGGTTGAATCTATTTAGGGAACCTAGTCCTTTTGTGGGTTGACAGTCATTGTGTCAGTCAATAGTACCAACCTGTGTGAAGAAAAAAAATATTTAGTAAAAATTGTTCAGTCCACGAGGTAAAAGAAAAAGAAAAGTTTTATTAAATTAATTCTTAAAAGATCTACTTAGCCTAAGAGTCCTTATCAGTACCAAGCAATTGATACGACGCATCCATTTTGTTCTAAAATTGTCCCGAAGTCAGTGCCACGTGGAAGGTCCTCCAGGTCGACGTGGCTCTTCGACCCGTTTGACCTTTCGCGTGACGTCATATTATCATGCTCTCGAGTCTTCCTGTATTATCGCAAACGCTCGAATATTCTGATAACAGGAAGTTCTGCCGAAGGAAATAAAATCGTTAATTAATCAATCAATCGGAAATCACTTAGCACTAGCACAGAATCAGTGATCTTCTCGCTCAGGTTCTTCCGCCTGAATGATGGTAGAAACTTGCCCTGTACCGCCCAGCCCCTTTACCCTCATCCAACATCGACTCTTCTCGTACTCTGAGGGTAGAGTCGTTTATTAATATCATCGGGTCGTTAACCAAGTTTGCCTGTGCGCTTATATACAATGCATTTCTCCTTATAGCAAAGGATAAAATCAGAATGGAGCTTCATGTTATCGCGTACCTACCATATACATATATATTATTTTTCAAGATTCGTAGCAATGTGTTAAAAATTAAAAAAAAATAGATAAGAAAGTTTAATTAATATCGATATTATATTTTCTAAGTTTGTCATTTAATTTAACATTAATTGTATCGTTATTCGATTATTTATAAGATTTAATTATTACAAAGGATACCTGCTGGCGCGAATGTATGATATGATACAAAGTGTGGCTAAAGGGTTAAGCACGGTACCAGCATCGATTTCACTGGCACGAGCCAATCCAGTCAGCCCAGGCGACCCTGCAAACTGTACCATGGACATTGCGCGTCTTTAACCAGTACTGTTGCCTAGTTTCATTTTCATTCTGTCAAGTTGTTCTAGTGACTTTTATTCTCTTCAATTCACAACCTCAGATTGTTTTATTTATTTTTCTATCTTCAACTTACTTTTCTTTGTACATTTTCACTGAGGTACTGGCACTGCTAGCACTTTTCGCGCACGGCCCTGAACATTGAACGGCTGACCGATGACGGATTTCCTACGTGTGCTTCAGGAGTGGGAGACCATTGGAAGTGCGATTGGCGGTGGAATCGGCAAGAGTGAAGAGCGATGGGCTGGGCGCTTACCGGTGTCGGAGTGGCTGTTGCCATTGTCCTTGTTGCCGGCGCTGCTCTTGGTCTTTGTAGAAGGTGACAATTTTTCTTTTGGTCAGGTCAAACGTCTCTGAAGTATCATGTACACCTAGGAAGTTCCTTTTTTTTTCACTTTTACAATACCACAATAGGTTAATAGGAATCTTTATGTTTCAATGCATCGTTTTGGGTAATTCGCGAAGTACCGAGTGGGAGTTATTTTGTTATTTTCACAAGTCACTGCAGCGCAGTAAAGCTTCGGCCCACTTCGAAGAATTGAACCACGACTGTTCTAAAGGTGGATTCGCGTATCTGCAGCGCGGCAAAATTCAAATGATCAAACGAGACGTTAATGTCAATTGACGATTAATTAATTCAGATAAAAGTTTGAAAAACTTACAGTTTTTGTTTTGACTTTAGGGGTAAGTTCTTGTTACCCTGTGTATTTTGGTATCTCCAGAATCAGATTCTGCTGTATCCCTATTGAATGTTTGACCGATAATTTTAGTAATGACTTTAATTAAAATCGACAAGTTTTTCGTGACTTTTTAGAAATTGATTTTACCCTTATCAGATACTGCGCCGGCTGGCAGTGGAGAAGCAGGAACGTGTGGAGCATTTGTGAGGAATGGCGGCATCGGTTGTCCTGGCTTTGGGCGCCGCGGGAGGAGAAGGTAAGCGAAGGTCAAGATGTCGAGTTGGGTACGGTTAGGTACATCAAAGGTCGGAGCCTTAACAACGAGACTTAACAAGCTCGCGAAGAAGATTCAGGGTGGATGCTGGGAAACGTCAAGGAGAGAAAGAGATGTATAGTAAGGGAGAAAGGAAATTTCCTTGAGTCCCTTTCGCCTTATATACCATTTACCCTATGTATTTTATATATGGTATGTATCCATATATATGTACATATTGATTTAATCGACTTTCAGTAGTACCCTCTCCTCGTCTATGACGTTTCTTGACTAAGAATACAGCATGACTTTCACTGGATGGAGAATTTAAGGCATTTTCATTGAAAAGCAAAACTTCTTTGACAGGTCGGCTTGGTCAAGGCTCAGCATCCGACAGCCCAAACAGTCCCAGGACTCTATCGACAGACGGGAAACACGTCCCAGTATCTTCTGCACAGTGAAAGTGACCTTAGGCTGGACGCCCAGGGAGCTTTTACTAGGTAACGAGCTTGACGGCACATCCTTAGCAGCATTGATTTTAGTTTTTTATTTTGCTTCAATATTTAGATTTGGGCCTTTGGTCGTTATTTTATATTTTTCGTTAATTTTCTCAAAAGGGTCGTACATGGAATAATGAGGAAAGATTTGCATTAATTCTGTAGGTTCGAAGCCGTCGATCGAGATCTTCATCCACCCTTAAGTGGGGGTAGTACTATTCCACCACAACCGTTAAGGCCTGCTCCACAACCAAGACCCACCCCAAGACCCAGGCCATCTCCGTTGCAAGCCCCAAGCGCTGTGGAATATCTGAGAATGCAGGAAGCAGGACCTGGACCACTGACGCCACCACCTCAGATACGGCCTCCGCAAGTATCACGGTTCTCGGGTCCACCTGGACAAGGTTCCTCCATCTTTGTCTTTGAGAACGAACCACATAAGGTTCATGGGCCATCGCGGTATGAGGGTTATTCCACAAAAATTACTCCGGAGGCTATACAGATGACGTCGTACACCAGGAAGCCAGATCACGTCGTTCAAGACTTTCAGAATGGGTATGAAGCTCAAGAGGGCCCCGATAGGACATTTGGCCAATTCAGTTCATCCCACGAGGACACACAGAGTGTCAGGTACAGCGTTCAGGGTTCCTTAATGTCTCAGAATGTCATTCACGGCCCTGGTGAAATTGAGCAGCAACCTTATGGTAGCTACGACATCGCCCAAAGAAGTCACAATGGTTCCCAGCAATTTCGTCAGGTCAGAAGCGACTGCAGAAACTCCTCTGGAACTATTGGAAGTTTTACCAACGAGAACTCAAACACAACTCAGACAATCATGGAGTCTATCTATGGGTCGCATTCTGTCTCCAAGATGCTTCAGAGCAATCAAAAATCCAGTGCCGGAAATGTCAATCAGGGAACGAGCAATGTCCAGGGTATCGAGATGACACCTTTTAGAAATTTAAACGACGCTAACTCTGCCTACGGTGTACAATCGAGTCCCTCTAAGAACCAAGGGCTCCAAAGGGCCTCTCAGTATACAGAAAATGTGCCAGAGTCCGGCATTTATGAAGCCAAAGGTGACCACGCTGGCATCCAAAATCATGAACCGAATTTATACGCTGGCCAGGGGACTATGTTAGGTGGACAACTTAGAGATGCTCGGGTACCTCCTCCGGCACCACCGGATCCTTCAAATTCTGCTCAAAACGTAAGGAAGAATGGTCCCACAACCGGCGAAAGAATTTTCAACGCTCTGAGATCAGTCACGTCTCAAAGTTACATTGACGCATCCGAATTTTATAAGTAAGTCCTATATGTAATTGGGGTTTGAACAAATGTTTATTATTTATCTTTACTCGTCTTTCCTACAGTTCGGTATTAACGTCAGCTCAGCAAGTTCAGCGGTTCACTTTCCCACCTGTAACAAGATACACTGGCATGGATAATGAGAATACTGGGACTAATGCAAAGCTCGAGCCTGGATCCGTAATGGAGAATGTTGCAGATGGTCGTTACCTTGGAAGGGATTCCGATTCCATTGGTATAGATAATGCCAGAAGAAGCTCCGACCTTTACAGTCCGGAATTGAATCTCGAAGCACACAGAACTGCGCAGGAGGTTAATACTATTAGATCAAGTTAACAAAGTTAATCGGTATATAAGGAATCTGTCGTTACTCGATTGCTTTGACTCAGGTATACAACAGCCTTCAGGATCCACCATCTTCGCCATTGCTGCTGAAGGATCTCAGTCAGGAACCGCATCCTTATCATATGGATCCAAGTTTCACCAGAACGTCCGAGGTAGTTAGAAAAAATATTTAATATCGCATACCTTGAACCGTAGCTAAGGAAAATTGCATTCCAACCGAATGGTCGAAGGTGCGTCTCTTACCGTCTCTACCCTAGCCCACCTCATGCAAGGTCCAGAGTCAATAATCGAGAATAATAAGGTTCCCTCGTCTTGTCCGCTTCCAGGACATCTTCAACAGTATCGAGCAAAGAAGAAAGAGCATGGAGAGGCTAAATGGACTTCGAGAATTAGTAGAAATGGATGTGACTGAACCTGCAAGGTAATTCATCTAATTGAAGTCTCTATAAAAAATTATTACAATACAAGAATGTACGAAAGTTTATTAAGAGCTTTAATCCTGATCAGCCCCCTTTTGAGCAGAAGACGTAGCAGTCAGGATCTGTACGCAGCGCTGGAAGAAGTGCAAATGAAAAGAAGACTCTCTCAGGTACCCTTAAACCTTTTATCCGTAAATAAAGAAACCATAAATCTTCCTTCCCCCGGGACTCGTTGTAGGTTCAGCGGCATTAAATGACTTTCTGTTATCTGCCGACAGTCGTTGGAAGACACGTACACGGGATACACGTCCAACGAAAGTGGAGAAATGACTCCGAGCAGTCGACGCGGTTCTCAGGGGCCTGAACCTGAGCCACCGCCTGACGAATCGACCCTGAAGAGGGCTGTCAGCTGTGAAAGTGTTTGTTCGGACACCAGTGTGGTTCTTGGAGACCTGGAGGAGACCCCAATCGTAGGTCACGTGTGCGTTGGCCTCGAGCACGAAAGATGGAATGGTCGTGGAGCCGAAGGAGAGGGTGATCTGTCCGTCAGCGTATTGGAGGCTAGGGATTTGATAGCTCCTGACGGTGGACCAGCTCAGGATACCTTTGCCAGGTAATAAAACTATCGCCTCATACCGAACGACGCAGGATGCTTTTGTTAAGGAAAATTATTTCTCTTAGGGTTTGCTTGCTACCGGATAGACAAACGTACGTACAAACTAGACTGTATAGAGGAACACCCTCGCCGAGTTACCAAGAGAAGTTCGTGTTTCCGTTGGATGGTGGACCTGTCGGTAGGACCCTCCTGGTTGAGGTAATTCCGTAATACATAGATTAAGCATAGTAATTTGAGTCTATTCAATCGACTAAGTGTATATTGACTTTAAGGTGTTCTCAGTGGAGGTGACCATGGGCGGTGGAGCTTCATTATTAGGTGAGGCTAGTCTCAAATTAGGTCCTGCACCAAGACCACCAGCTACGACCTGGTTGTCGCTTAATGGACCCCCTCTGCCCACACCTAACTTAGGAGAGCTCATGTTCTCATTGAGCTACTTACCCACGGCTGAGAGACTGACTCTAGTCGTGGTAAAAGCAAGAAACCTTCGTGGATCGCATCCGTTACCTGGTGATTTCTTCGTCAAGGTATTCGTTCACTTTAGTTTCTCTTCAGGTTGCTCATTCCTCGAGTAAACAAGATCAGTAGATAAAACGTGCCTATGTACCAGACAACCTTACTCCAGGGTCATTGTGCTAATTAATTTATACTACCATGATTCGCCTTACAGGTGTATCTGTTGCAACAAGGGAAGAAAATGCATAAGAAAAAGACTTCCGTGAAGAGGGGTGAAAAGAGTCCAATCTTCAATGAAGCCATAATTTTCAGTGTGCCTGCTCACGCCTTACAGGTATCATCGACGAGTACTTACTAAATGAATATCTTTTTTTTTTTTTTTTTTTTTTTTTTTCCATTAAACTTACTAGTCACTCTTATGCTCTTCTTTTCTGTGCCTAGACTATTCAGCTGAGATTGACAGTAGCGGAAGCAACGGGCGAACCAGGTACGGGTTCAAAGGCTTATTCAGTGGGTCACGTGATAGTCGGTTCCTCAGCTTCCGGCCGATCCTTAGCTCACTGGAGACAAATGTTGGCAGTCCTGAGACGTCCCGTGGCTATGTGGCATCCTCTAAGAAAATAGCTCATGGAGATACATCAAGTGAGACTCCTCCCCAAGTAGATAGAAGCCCTTGAACGAAGTACCGAGAGCAAAGTGCACTCTTTGACAAATGAAATAAAAGTAACAGAAGACCTGCGAGAGAATGGGGCGGAGAAAGTAAGAAAGTTAGCAAGAAAAGAAATTGGAGACAAGGGTGCATCGCTCCTATAAAAGAAGAATCTCCTGTTATCTCGAGAGCATTCACGAGATAGGGATAAAGGAAAATATCATTTTAACTAGAGTTTAGTAAAGGTTCAAGGGTAGACTGGCACAATATCGATAATTCGTATGACGTTCGTGTAACGTATTATCGCGGAAAATTCCCCCTCCCAAGTTAACGTTTAACGGTAATAATAATAACAATATAAATAACAATAATAATAATGTTCGAATACGAGGATACATAACCTCGGGCGTTCACAGAAAATCTTACGTACTTTGCGACAATTATTGATGTTCATCATCACAGACTGAAGTCTACCTTGAATTGATATCAAAAAGAGATTCATCGGCACAAAAGGCAAAAAAAGAACGATCGTTAGGTTCTATCGTTGACCTTCGCTCTGTAGATTGCCGACAGAGCGGGTTTGGAAAAAAAAACAAGGGAACCAATCAGGAGTAAATGAAAGTTGATGAATGATTTTCTTTGGAATGCAGCGTATTGCACTTGCGAGTGCATTTGTGTTGCATTTGTGCGTGCGCGTGTCCGTCCCTTGGGCGTGACTGCTGAGAAACAAGGCGCATCGATCGGATAATGGATATCGAGGCGGGAAAGGTCTTGTTTTTTGAAGAAAGAAAGGAATTATAAGTGCTCTTCCCCGTATAAACCGAGGAGCACAGAAATTTGGACTTGTTCGATTCTCTCGCGAATATAGATAAACCACGTGGGAGGAAGGGACAATCGATCCTCTTGAGGTCCTCCCCGGGAGCGCAGCTAAATGCTGGAAATTCACGTTTGGTGTTTTAAATGCTAAGGGTAAAAGAAACAAAGAAAAAAGGATAATATAATGAAAAATGTAACATTGTTATTTCCAATGGAATGTTAACGTTTGTACAGAGTTTATTGATTGTGATTGTAGTCAGCGTACAACGTGTCTTCTGATTCGACGTTAAAAACTGGCGTTTACAAGAAACTTCATAATTTTCTTATTTCTATTTTCACTTACCACGAGCGACCGAGTAGCCAACGACTTCGCTTGCGCGATCTTCCTCCGTGTCTTCTTCAATTTACTTCTATCTCATTTCTTTCGTTCAATCAACACGTCATCTCGCGACAGCTTAAAACAATCGACTGGAGACCCGTCGCCAACTTCACTTCGATGAAATTCGAAAACGATCAACGAGAATTCCCGCAAACGATTTCTCACTTGATCTCGATCGATCCCGATAGAAAAAAAAAAAGTGAATTAATTCCAACAACACAAACACAGCTCAGATCGAACAAAAGATTACGAGCCAATTGATTGAACCCTCGCCTACACACACACACACACACGCACATATATATATATATATATATATGTGTGTGTGTGTGTATATGCATATGTATATACATAGAGTTATTCAGTAGAAATGCACCAGCCGAAGTTAGCGCGCCCATTTCAGTCTTATGGTGAAGCCATGTTCAGGTGGTGCGTTTGGGCTGAACAACCTGGTATACATTTTAGTCTACTCTAATAGTTATCTACCTTCGTATAACTTTTATACCTCTTCGTACACGATTACTACGAGAAAATTTAAAAAAGGACAAAAAATCTTGACAATTATAAAATATACAAAGTTGTCTACAAGGCGTATTATTAAAAGTGACAAAAGGAAAGAAAGAAAGAAAAGAATATGGGAAAATTAACGTTTTACATGCTACTATACATTTTTGCCATAAACGCGAACTTTCAACAATCCATATTATATACAAAAACACGATCATATATAAATATACGTGTATACGTTACACACCAATTAACGTGTGTGTGTATATATATATATATACACACAATGTATCTATATAATTATAAAGATAATTCAGGTTTTTTCTATCGCCAATAATTATGGGACTAAACTATGCTGGATTCATATTCTCCTCCTCCATATATGTATATATATATGTATATATATATATATATATATATATATATATTTACTATATTAATATATTCGAAGTGACTGCGACCGGAATGAATTATATATATATATATACAGTATGTTTGTACCAAATACCCAAGAACACAATGCATTAATATTTACATTGTGTTTATGCGCGTATAAGATAAAACGCTCGAGACGGTAAGAATAATCACAAACACACTGTTGTACGTCAGGCACAAAAGTGAATCTTTTATTATTTATATATATATATATATATATATATATATATATATATACATATGCCAGGTACTTCCGATATTACGCGTACCGTGCAATTGCGAGCGGGTGAAAAACAAGACAAAAGCAGAAGAAAATGGGGATCCTTTGTTTTGACCTCTTATACCGAATTGTCTTTGGTGGCTTGAGGGTTGCGTAATGGGAATACGTCTGGAAGCGAAGGAAAAAAGATGAAAAAATGTGGGATTGAAGTGGAACGAGGAGGGAGTGAGCAGGAGGGAGGGAGGGAGGGAAGGGGGAAAAAGGCAGAGAAAAAGTATTGAAGACAATAATAGAGCCAGACCATTCGTCGTTCTAGTAAATGCTAATTACCCTAATTACCAGAAAGTAACGTAACTTTTCTCTCATCGACCCCTCGAATCGTCAAGCCGAGTCTCCATGAACTATCGGAAGTCTGTTTTTGGGATAATAGAAATTTCTTGAAATATTTTCAACTCTTAATAAACAATCCTTTTATTTGGATTCACCGACTGTCTAATACTTCTGCAAATGGTTCTCGCTGCTTTTACTTTGTCTTTAGAAACCAAAAAAACCGCAGTCGCATGGCTATGTATTGCAGGAGTGGTACGATTCATACAAAAAAAGAAAAAAAAGAAAAAAAAAGAAAAAAAAGAAGATACTGTAAGAATTTAAATTGTTTGATATTTTTGTTACGCCTCTCTGTGATATGATAAGGGCACATTTCGCATCACCCTGTATATGCATTAATCTTCCTGTCTTATTAACGATAAGGTCAGACCTTTTAAGGAATGACTAGAGGAAAAGGGAGAAGGAGGGAGAGAAAATTTGGCAGATTCCAAAAAATATAGATATATATACAATCAAACGCCATGCTTCCCTCCGAACGTGACGCGGGAGGCGAATCGGGCGTCTCGCCAGAAGAAAATAAAAGGAATTTTCGAAAAATCGCCTGACGTCAAAAAAAACCTCATTTGGACGTTCGATCACGCCGCAGGAAAACTTTGGTGTATAATTACCAACAGGTACTATCAATCTGTCACGTATCGTATAATATTTGAAAACGTAAGGAAATTAATCTTAAAATGCATTAAAACCAAAAAAAATAATACTAAGCGATAATGATGTTAATTATTGTACGGCGTATATCGCATGGAGATTCATATATAATATTAAAACTATACACCGTCATTGTTGACCATCGTTGCGGTTCTATTTACACGTTTCGTTTACTGAATAAATTCCAAAAAAAAAAAACATATATATTCAGAATTAAAGTTTCTGGCATTTTCTTATGATCCGTCCTTTGTCGTGACGCAATCCAAACGATAAACCACTCCTACGATAAATCCTACCGGATATAAGATAATGGGCCCAGTCGTGGACACCACTTCATAAGAAATCATATTTTCTTTTCTTTTTGTACACACTGTAGATCAGTAAGGGCGTCCATGGCTTGTACAGTATCTACCAGCTACTCTCTGCTATCACTAGGTCTACTTCTTAAAGGTTTTCCAATTGAAAAGACTCGTGAATTTGCTTTTGTTTTTTTTTCTCTAACAATCACTTCTTTTATAATAGCGCTTCACTTACTTACAGCAATATACACACAGTTTCAATTGGTCATTATCAAAATATAATAATAGAAGCTGCTATTATTATTATTATTTTCATTAAAGATATTTTAATCCTAATAATATACACTGTATACATACGAGCGTACCCGTACCGTGTAAATACAAAACCTTTTTTTGGGGGGTTCTATTTAAAATCATTTTGTCTTCCCGACAATTACATCTTATCTTTTCATTAATTTTGTAGATTTTTATCAATCAGGAATGTAAAAGTCATGTTTTCGCGGGTACGGGTACGCGTGTACGTATCCTTTGTAGAGTGAGATATAAATACATTAATCTGTAACAATGCGCCTAAATAGGTGTCGGTAATTTAAATTTTCTTTCTTTTCTCGAAATAATTGTCACTTGCTCTCTCACAGTATGCAATATTATTTAGGCAGAGTACGCATTAGTCTCGGTAGTGATATAACTCCAGGCTATTTATAATTTATAGTAAGCATATTTGCTCATTCATCACGCTGATTAATTAATTAATTAAATTAATAATTGGTCCCTAGAATGTCACAGCCAATAAATGCATCGGACAACAGTCTGAGCTCATAAGGCCACTGGACTAAGAAATAAATTCACACTCGTGTACCGGGG